GTGAACAATGGCCTTCAGATGGCAGCCTTCACTGCAGGTTGGGACCTTTGATGTCCGCCCTTGCAGATTTTAAATATCTTTGCAGTAGCCGTCAGGTTGAAAAGGGCTCGATGCAGTGCGGTCATGATTTTGGAGAGTCTATCCATGTGCATTTGTTGGGGCTGCGAGGTCCGCCCTTCGTCCCCCCCCCCCTTGACTTCCTTTCCCTAAGCCGGCGGACTGCCAGCAATTGATTCCACCCATCATGCTTTGCCAGCCTCGTTGCCATGTTGGTGCGAGGCAAGATGATCCACCTGGCGACTGCTCCTCGTGCACCGTAGGCATTCAATGTTCATTGCACGCAGAGCATCGTTTGACATTGAGAATATGAACAGACCATTGAATCGAGTTGGAATGAGCGGGGCGGGATTGGTGACATTTCTGGGCCACCCTTCATTCCCACAAACAACAGGCTGCAGAGCTCTGTGCTCACCCTGCCTCGACCAGGAGGGCGGCTGATCGGCTGGCAGATGGGCGCGGGGCTGTGCTGCGTTGGCGCTGGGCAGCTGCATTGCGCTTAAATGAAGGGCGTTGTGTGGGTGGATTAACATCCATGTATGTATGTGATTGCATGTGACTTATGGCGGGCTGGGGCTATCCAGCCCAGCCCTGCAACAAAACAGATCAACTTCAAATCACTGGAGCCAACCAGCCCATGAGATGACCAAAGCACTGTGGCTATCCAGCCCTGCAAGATCAACTTCCAATCACTGGGGCTATGGAATGACCAAAGCACTGGGGCTATCCAGCCCTGCAAGATCACAAAGCAGTAGGACTATCCAGCCCTGATTGCATGCTTTTCACAACTTCAAGCTTTCCAGCGAGTCAGCTTCATCCTCTTTGAGGTTGAGCTGGCCACTCAAAAGCAAATGGAAGCAGAGGGGAAATTTCTGCAGCACCTTTGCAGGCAGCGCGCGCTTTGAATGACGCAATTCCATTCGGACAGCGTAACTCACATGATCAATAGTTTTATCTTTTCTCTTTCGGGAAGGCTACAGGGGCAAGCACACACGATGTCAACAATGCAGTCTTACTCAGGCAGCAGAACCGACATCGCCAATGATTTGCTCATGTTCCGTCGGTCTTTAGAAACATCAAAAACACTAGAGCAAAAACAACCCTCAAACTAAAACTTGATGAACTATCTAGCAATTCTAGCGGCGTGAGACAACGCCTTGGACTTTCTTGATTGAGACAGCTTTAGCGGGAAAAGTACGACTACATGTTTTTGCATAGTTGGGTTTTCTAGGTAGTAGATGTACAATAATGCTGTACTGCCGTTTTTTGGTGGGAATTGCGGTCGGGGTCACCGGCTTTAAGGGTTCCTGCACAAGATCCTGCTGACTGCACGCAAGTAGCGGCAAAGATATCATCTAACTGATAGCGATGTGTTTCAGGGTGCAGGCACAAAGTCTTCAATGAACAATCACTTGTTTATTGTTTATAGATGACATGTTTTGTCATGTCTAGTATACGAGTTGTTTGTGATGCCTTCGTTTTTCGGAATTCAACCCATGGGATGTGTGAACTCAAAACGCTCCCTCCACCGGGCCCTCGGCCAGTGCAGGAGTGCCGAGTCGTGACGTCCTGTGGGGATCACCATGTCCGACTGTGGGATGGAAAGACCGGAACTTTGCTGCAACTGCTCAGCCGCTTGGAGACCCAACTTGGTGGCCTTGGTGGGCCAACGGTCTGCGCAAATGCAGCGGACTTACTTCATTGGCTTTGGCTCTCACTTCCACAAGGGCCACCGTGTTAGCAGGTGCTCGATGACGGTTCACCATTACTGACCGATTTCCTGCAAGCAGAAGGTTTCCAAGTTGTTACCTAGTTTTCATATTGCACAATTTTGCCCACTCTACAACCATTTTCCTTTACACACGCTCACAGATTGACGATCAAACGGACTAAATTAATTGAAGATTGACCCGATTCTTTTTGAACCAGACTAGGTATATTACCGGTATATGACCATGTAGGGCATCTTACATTAAAAAACCATTTTAGACAAACAGTATCAAACAATGCATTCAAACAAAGTAAAAAATATATTCAAACAGGTTACTGGTATGATTTAGAAACAGGTAGGATGACATATTGGTATAAGACCAGGTTTGAGATCTCTTCAAACACCTTCAAACAAATTATTGTCGCACCTAAAAGTTTCAGGCGCAGTGTACCTTTTGGGTCTCCTTCTGCGTCACCTGTGCCAAGGTCTTAGAGAACCAAGGTCTTCTTGTGGGAGCGATGTGAAACCATACGCCAGTCGTACCCTTCCACAGGTCTTCAGTTGAGAGGATGGTCCTGTGCCCTTGGTGAGGTTTCAATTGGTGACCTTACCTCGGAAGGTCCTGACACACGCACTCTGCAGCATCTAAAATCATGTTTGGGTACGTTTGTGTATCTCGATCATTGGTGGGCTCTCGTGTTTTTTTTCGCAAAAGTCAATCCATGGACTGTTTCCTTCCACCCTCGGTGCCGACGGAAGATCACGCCACATTGACCGGTCCCTTAGTTGGAACTGTTCATGGTTCAATTTTCCAGTGGTAGGGTATTATATAGTGTATTATATAAATATAGGACTCTCCAATTTGTTGTTTTGGAGATAGTCTTTGGACATGTTTGAGTTTGGGCATCTTACCCACTAGAAGACGCGTTTCGCCAGGTCACCAGCTGCTCGGTCTTCTCCTTCAACAAAACATTATCCATATGGAGAAGAACTGAAGAACACCAGGCAACTTCCGGTGAAATTCCAAGGTTTGTAGGTCACTCCATGGCCATTTCAGGTGGTTTCCCCTCCACTGTCTCTGCGGCGGTCTTCTCTCCCAACGGCTGCCTGGTATGCGCTACCGGAGCTGATGGGCAGGCAGATGGGAAAAGAAAGAGAGGGCACACCCATACTTGTAGCCATAGATGAAGTAGGAGTAGCATGTTTAGGTGGTGGTAGTTGTTGTAGAAGTAGGAGGAGCTGTGTACATTGTACATGACACCCAGGCAAGATAGACAAGCCCTGGTGGCCCCTTGTGGTTGCTGTTTTGTGGTTGCCGGTCAAGACTTTGTTGTCACAAAATTTTTTCCCCGTGGAGGATGGAATCCTTGTGTGACGCAATGATACTTCTTTGAGACTACGCAACAAACAAGGGACAGGGAACTGCCTTCCATCGAGCAGTGCGTTTGGTAGTTCCTTGGGTCAGCTTCTTTGGATGGATGTTTGGTTCTGCCGCAGAAGCTGAAGCAACTTTCAACGCTGTTCTTGTTTCAACCAGCTCCATGTGCTGCGAACGTAGCGTCGTTGACTAAAATTGGGAGCCGCAGCTGCAGCTGCTCCGGGTCGGCCGCCTATCGTAATGGAGTGGTGTTTGGCCGATCTATGGTGTTTTTACATCTGCAGCAGTATCTAGCAGTATAGACATGGGGCTTCTTGTAGTGAGTGACAAGACTTAGTCTAGTCTTACTTAGACCAATTCATCCTGCCTTTTTTGGGACCAAACATATATTATTATTCAAAGTCTTCAAAGTGCAAATTGAAGCCTGAGATCGTTTGGGGTTCGATAAAGACCCGTCACTGTTGTTCAGTTCTTGTTCCTTTCTTGCAGGTTGTCCAGTAGAGGCGGCTTTTCTTTTCAGCTTAGACCGGGGTTTAGCGGGTTTGAGCGGTTCAACCGCGGTGCAGGCACGGCTTTGGGACCTCACTGGAGAGCTTTTGTGGACCACACCACGGCAGCATCAAGATGTGAGCACCTCTGTGGCCTTCTCGGCAGACGGCCAGTGAGGGGCACCAAGCGAGGACCAGGGACACCGGACAGCGGTGGATAGCTATCCCCTTTGGTTTGGTGGATCATGGTGGATCCCCCGCAGGCCAAGGTTTTGGTTGGATTTTTGTTGGAGATGATTGAGATGATTCCCACTAAACAAGAAACAGGTGCTGTGGAAAAAGTGATATAACCTCTTCATTTGCCAGGGAAACTGAAGGAGTCAAGCACTGTGTGGATTTGGTGGGTGTGGGGACCTGTGGGAGTGCAACATGCAGCGCTGGTTTGGGAAAAGCTAGTCGGCAGTCGCTTGCTTTATAATTAATGACATCCCAGTGAACGTTCTGGAGAGACTAAGACCTTTCGTTCCGTGCACCCCGACACGCACGGTCCATGGCCTTGGACCCCACCGGTGGACCCCGCCGGTCGCACGGGCGCCTTCGCGGCCATCGCCGCCATTGCCGGGTGTGTGGCCACCACCAGCAGTGATGGCACGGCGCGACTGTGGAACATCGAGTCACAGCGCTGCGAGTTGGTCTTGACAGGCGGAGAGCGCAGAGCTGCGCGCAGAGCACGGCGAGCCCGAAAAACGGAGGGTGGGTCACACGTGGCTGGAACTAGATCTGCCGGAACCGGCCAAAACCGTGTGGCGTTCTCACGGGTTTCTCGATATGATCGTTTCTCACTCCTGTCGTCTCCAGGCCGCGATTGGTTAGTTTGAGTGGAGAATCTGTTTGTCGTCTCCACGCCAGGCCATCAAGACGCCGTGATGGCCGCCTGCTTCGTGTGTCGCAGCGACCTCGAGGTTAGGAAAAGGTCCGGTCGTCTCCCGGACCGTTGTGCCGTTGTGCCGGGGGTGTGAACAACGGTTGGATTTTTTTGGGCGGGATTGTGACTGTGTAAAAGTAAGAGAGTAAGAAAAACGTAGAAGAGGCCGAGCATAACATAGCTGGCTGCCCATTGGATGTCGTTGGTGCAACCGTAGAAGAGTAGGGACTGAGTAGCTGTGTTTTTCGCGGGAAGATGCTTCTTCAAATCGATGAGCGGAGGTTAGTCTTGTCTCCTCGTTGAGAAGGTCCACAGATATTCAAGCTTCTATCAGCTTCTAGCAGATGCTAGCACATTTAACTTCAGCTGATTCATTGGTGAGTTGTTGCGAAGTTTGATGCAAGAGCAAGGGATACAGCATCTGTGTCTGCCCGGCTGCCCATGCCACGATCCTTAATCAGTGAATTCTTACCGCTGCTGGCTCGGCTCAAGTGGTCACAAAGCCTCGACGCCATGATCGGTCTTTTGGACTGTTGTTTTTTGGGCCGGAAGAAGTCTTAGACGGTAAGCCCCACAATTCCTGGCCCGAACAACCAGGGTTTTACTAAGGATTTTACACTACAAACCCAGGTGAACGATTTTCTTGAATGGTCTTGGAAGGATCTGGTAAGGAAGGACCAAGGACCTTGCGTAAGAGCATTCAAATATATTCAAACACAGGTATATGTGCATCCAGGTGGTTGATGTCTCACATGAGTGTTTGCTTTTGCCCCATTCACTGGGGGTATGTGAGTATCGCAATAGTATCATTATAGTTTCCTAAGCCAACTCACCAAGCCGTTCTTTTTTGTGATTGAGCACGGATTGAGACCTTTATAACCGAAGTTGCGTTGGGGTGAATAGAGAAAGAATCGAAGCACGTGCTCGGTCTGGGGGTCACCATGTTTGAAAGAATTTGGACACTTGTCCTTGTCTTGGGACAAAACCAAGCCTGCCACGTTGGGGCACATCTTGTGATTTCATGAGAATCTCAGTGAGGGAGGCACCTTTTGAAGGATACCGTAAAAGGAATTAAGAGGAACATCAAAGTTATAGCCCAGTCAAATTGGATGTCGAAACCACTTTGAAGACAACCGCTGGTCTAGAGCTGGCCCAACTCAGGAATCATTGGAGATTCCAACACTGGCAAGTCCACCTTGCTAAATACCTTGCTGGGCCAACGACTACTTCCGACCAGCTGCTGGACATGCGAGCTGACGAGAGAGAGAGAGAGAGAGATGTGCTTGAACCGAGCGGAAAGCGGTGCTTTTGGGTGGCACAATGCAGCAGGTGCTACCCTTCAAAGCAGCTGATACAGTAGTGCTGCTGTTTGGTGCCATATGGCCATCCATGGCCATCGTTCTGGCATGTTCTGGCCATCGTTTTTAGGACCTGTTTTTTTTTGTTCTGGACTTACTTTCAGTCCTTCAGTTTTGAGGTTGGCAAAACGGAGCCACGCAGGGTCCAGTCCAGGTTTTGGGATCTTTCCAGGAGCCACGAATTCTGGTTGATCTCTGTTTAATCCTTCTGGAACTTTCCATGGATATTAAAACAATAAGCTACTAGGAACAAGTGCATCGCTTCTAGTAACAAGTGCCTTACTAGTAGTAACAAGAAGCGAACGTAGAAACAATAAGTAAATAGACCGCTCAAGGATTGAACCAAAAACCATGGAGAAACCGCGAACGTGAGACGAAACCAACCAAACATGCCTCGCTCACGTCGTCTCCGGACTCATCGCTCCTGTCCTGTGATGTCGTCAAGACCAGGTTCACGGCTCGCCCTGTCCGCCGCCCGTGCAAGGGTGGCGCATGTTTTTTGACCCTTCTGCATGAGATTTGGTAACCCTCGTAGCGTTTTGAAGGTTTTCCATGGATTTGCAGACCCTTATTCTGATTGACACTTACAGTAATCCGGTCCTGATTTTTGTACCTCGCCACAGCGAGAATCAAGTTTTTTCGTGCGTTTACGCCACCCGTACTTCTTCGGAGCTGACATCCGCGCAAGTGTCAACCAATGCTGCCGTGATTGATGGTGGAATTGAACCCTTGTGATAACGTAACCAAATGTGATCCCAACCATCTTTCAACAAGTCGGAAAACTCTTCTAAACACTCGAAGTCCAAAAACCGATGTGAATCTAGTGCTATGTGCAAACACAAAGCGACCCAAAAGTCAGTGCCTAGATCCAACAAGTCGTCCAAGTAGCGGGGGACACAAACAAACCAGATAAAGGACCGGGCCAAGAAAAAATAAAGTCAAATCCTGACAAACGAATTAACAAAACGTGGACATAAACATAAGCATCGTTTGTACAAGTCAACCAAAACCTCAACATCGTTTGTACATGTCAACCAAAACATCA